CTAAAGCTGATGGCTGCATCAGCCTCTGGAAATGCTTTGCTCTTGCCACTGACTCCTTGAGATTTAATTAGTTCAGGCTAGTACATAACCCTTAGACAGCTGAAGTCAGGTCAGATGAAACGTACTCTAGATAGAGTTAATTATAGTCTTGAAATCCCTTTTTATTTGTTCTTTAATTTTTTTGGCTGAAACAACGAAACTATTCATGTGAAAAAAATTTCTCTCCGTTCTAAATATAACAGAGTCTACTGGGAGGAAGCTGAGTGCCTAACTCTTTTTATGGGTTTTATTGCAAGTAAGGGGATGCTGAGCAGGGAGGAATAGAAAAAGAGTATCAACACATAAAGTACATCCAGTAATGGAGGTTATTTCAACAGAGAGTAACAAGAAGTGATAAAGCTCAGCAGGATCATTTTTTTGCCACTTCACATTGGCTTTTCTTTCTGTGTTTACAGAAGGGGCCACAGCAAGTGAGTATAAAGCGCTGATGACTGAGCTGAAAATCCTGATCCACATTGGTCATCATCTCAATATTGTGAATTTGCTGGGAGCTTGCACAAAAAATGGAGGTAAAAAAATCTGCACTGCACTGAAAATGGGTTTGGATCATTTCCCAGTAACAGTCAGCTGGTCATGTTAGGTTTTTTTTCCAGAAGTCAGGTTCTTAACTTGAAATATTGGAGCTCATCCTGTGGTTGGTGAAAAATAGAGAAAGAAATGCTTAAACATTTTCTCTACTTAAACTCTGTTTTAGTATTAACGTGCAAAGTGTGAATTTAGTGTTATGCCACATGTTCTCCTTTATATCACTCACTTCATGGCTCAAGCTCAGTTAAATATGAGCTGGAAAGGCTTGGAAGAAGGGGTATGAGCTATTGGCCCTGAAGAGTGAATCTGCTGTAAAATCCTTCATGATATTCCACTAAAAAAATCAAAGGGCCAGTATGAGCGATCGTTTGTTTTAGATATGTCACCTATTTTAGTTCAACAAGCATGTGTGGGCTGCAGAACTCCAGTATGAATGCAGACTGCCCAAGGAGGAAACAGAGGGTCCCTCAGGAGCCGGGTTCATGACCCAGCTTTCAAAAAATTAGGCTCTTCCCTAATTTTGAGAAACAGTGTTGTTTTGCCCATGTGTCCAGTGTCCTTCAAGCAGCCTTCTGCTTCATTAGCATACTGTTAGTTATTCTGGACTCAGGTTATAGCTATGGGCTTGAAAGACTCTTCTCAGAACTGACGCTGCCTTTTATTGCTTCATGCTGCAATTTCCTTTTGCCCAGGGCCTCTGATGGTGATTGTTGAATACTGCAAGTATGGGAATTTGTCAAACTACCTGAAGAGCAAGAGGAATTTTTTCTGCCCTAACAAGGTGAGGAGGCAGATGCCTCTGGTAGGGTCCATCTTATCTAACGTGAGTGTTGGTAATGTAGATGTCAGTCTCTGAGCTGGTCTACTTAGAGTCTCTTCTATCGAAGGAGAGAAATGGCTTTTGGGTGCAGGTCACCTTACCTGTTTTAATACTTGATGTGGGGTGCGTTGTGTCAAGAAAGGACTCATTTCTCTGCCCTGACTGTGCAAGGAGTCTGCCATGAGTGATTTAGATGGAGCCATCCATAGTGAGAGGAAGTGAATCCTGTCCAAAGTGTCCCCACATGCTCTTGCCCCACTGCTGACGAATCCGTTCCTTGGGGTCATTTCAGAGGCTGGTGTCAGCGAAGCCAAAGGAAGTGGTTTTGCCCACCAATTTCAGGACCGCTGGGAACGCAACTGAGATAATGCCATTTAAAGCTCATGTTCCAAGACAACCTAATGTTCAGAGATTTCCAAGTAATCTTATTATTGTGTGAGGAGAAGGGCTATCAAGACAAAAAGAGATTAGAGTCTTGTCCTCAAGTCCTGCAGCCCTCTGAATCAACTCCATGGCATGTTTCTTATTACAAACCCGAACCCAAATGTGCCAACCATATTTCTGCTTGTGCACTTTCAGCAAAATCCCCCAAAGGAGTAAGGGCTCTGAAGTGGGATTTAGGAGCCTGGATCCAGAATGGCAGCCCTCAAAACTCCTGCTCAGCTGTGCCAAAAGCTGAGCAGCATCTCTGGGGTTTTTTTCTGGATATCTCTGTGGTATGGCACACTTAGGAGGACCTTCCCCTCCCAAGGGCTCTGGTTGAGTCTCCGTTCCCAAGGCTGTCGATGTTGGACTCCACATGAGACACGACAGCCGATTCCTCTAACCTGAGGTTGCTGGTGTAGAATGCTCAGCGAGGAGCATGGCTGTGCGAGATCCATGCTGCAGAAGTTGCTTATATCCCCTCCAGTGAGGAGCCTGCCCAAACTGGGTGCTCCAGCACCCTTGGGAAGGGAGCCCAGGAGAGTGGGAGAGAGGGAGCCCAGGGGAGTGGGAGAGAGGGAGCCCGGTTCTGCCTCTGTGTGTAGGGGAGAGAGATGGTCACAGGACAAGAGAAAAGGGAAGAAGGGGCAACAGCAGCTGTTTTTCAAACATGAAGTGCTCTTGCTCCTCTTTGGAAGAGCTTACAGCCCCACATCAAACACTGTGGGGAGGATGCACATGCAGGTGCCTTAAGCAGCCTCAGACAAAAACCTGACACTTGAGGGCCAGGACACCTGCACCATGGGCACATCCTTCTCAGCTCATCCCACCATGCTCTTTCTCTGACTACCAGAGAGAAAATGCCTTTTCAGATGTCTCCTTTCAGGCTGAGATGAACCAGAGCCCAGCATATGTGTCCATTCATGGACCCTGTAAATCCTAACCGTGGCAGAGGTAGCCTGACAACTGGGTTGTGCCAAAATCATGTGCAGGTATTCCTAACCCACCATGTTTCCACCCTCTGGGGATGGCAACCTTGGCGGAGCGCAGCCCTGCCACCAACCCCACGTGCCATGGTGGCACCGAGTGTGACTCAGACCATCGTTTTCCCCCAGCAGAAGAGCAACAGAAGTCTGAGTCGATTCCTTTCCCACTCCCTCTGTCACTCTGATGCAGCACCTCTTTTCTGTTTTTTTGAAGGACTCCCCTCCACAAGGAGAGCTAATGAAAGAGAAGAGGGATATTGAGCTGGTGGAAGGCAAAAAACAAAGGCTGGCCAGTGTCACCAGCAGCGAGAGCTTTGCGAGCTCTGGGTTCCAGGAAGATAAAAGTCTGAGTGATGTGGAGGAGGACGAGGAGGGTAGGTATTAATTCCTTCCTGTCCCTA